TGAACATTTTATCTACTTTACCTTTCTGGGCTACCCAAGATTTTGCAGAGCAGAATGAATGATTCTGACACCCTTTTGTGTCAAGAAGACGAGTCTTGTTTGAACGAAAAGAATTACATCTTGGGCATATGTTCAGTTTCTGAGCGTGATGATGAAAATATACAAATGTTAATTCAAAGAGAGGCAGTCACTTTTCAAACTAATAGCAATTGCTCACTTCTGAAGAGTGAAAAGAGCTGGTTTAAGTGCGTTCGTTTGGATGCCATCAAATGGATTCTCAATGTTTGTTTCCTCAATCTTCTTTTTATTTTTCTGTCATATATATTTATGTATTTACTGGGCTATTAAAATTTGTGTTGTTATATACAGACAGGAGCCTCTTTTGGATTTCACTTTTGCACTGCTTATCTCTCATTGATTTATTTTGATGGTTTCTTTTTAAGAAGATTGATTGATGTAAGTGCTTCTTATTTTAATTTATTGTTTTCTTCCTAGATATGGATATTCATGTCTACTAACTTGGAATACTAATAGGATGGAAAATTATGGGCTATTCGATTATTATCAGTAGCTTGTTTATCTTTGGCTGCAAAGATGGAGGAACATAAAATACCCGCATTATCAGAGTATCATGTAGATGATTATAACTTTGAAGGAAATGCAATTCAGAGAATGGAATTATTGATTTTGCATACATTGGAATGGAAAATGAGTTCAATTACACCATTTGCTTATCTCCATTATTTCACCACCAAGCTGTGTGGCGAATGCAGCCATAAAGAAATGGTAATCCGAGCAATAGAACTCATTTTCGCCATAATAAAAGGTAAATTCTGAAGATAGTGTTGAGTCTGATCTGTGTTTGCTTAAGAATTTATATACAGTTTTGTAATGCAGAGATTAATGTAGTACAAAATAGGCCTTCCATAATTGCTGCAGCCGCGGTTTTAGCAGCTTATGATTCCCAGTTGACTAACAATGAACTGGAGATTAAGATGAACACAATCTCATCATGGGGGTCCCTAGAAAAAGTAAGCTCCATTCCTTTCTCTTCTTTTCCTTGCTTTATATGGTAGTTAAAACCTGATAATAAGTGATTTTCTTTCCTCTAATTATCTTAAATTTTGTGCATTTTAACAGGAGCATATATTTTCCTGCTATAGTCTACTGCAGGAAATTGGGATGCTAGAATCCAACACCCCTAACTCAGTGGTTACGCCAAATTTATTGTTGATGCCTTCAAGTTCCACAGTTGTTCTTGTGAATTCTTCACTTTCCACTGCTGGCAGTAAGAGAATACTTACATATCCGGACTGTGATCAAGATTGTCCTACTGAGAAAATTACCCAATTATACTGATCATTATGAGTTTTATCTAATACAGAGAAAATTTATTGTGTTTTTTCATTATACAGTAATGAAGCCT